AGTGGCTTTCATAATTAAAAAAATAAGAATAAAGGCAACTAAATTCAAGAAAAAAAATATTCACAGGTCTTGTTGCATTTAGGTTACAAAAGAAAATAGCCGATATATGGAGAGGTCAGAAGATGTTCTGCATATTTCTGCCAGGGTTTACTGAATATTTTGGCGGCGGCTTTGCTGCTAAGGTGACTAACAAGACAGTTAGAAGAGAGAAATAGAAACACATTGCAGAGACCATTCCACATTGTTGTGTTCAAAATCTCCCACTTACCCCAGTAAAAACAGAGTACTTCTTACACAACAATGTACACTTGAACATGTCTAAGATGATGGTTAAGACCATTTCTTGTGCTTTCTTTTAAGCTAGTTATAAATCCATTATTTAAAGAACCTCTTGCTGACACCATCTAATAACTCTGTGATGTGGTTAGGTCTTTTCATTAGACAATAATACATATATTCAGGTCCCCAGGACAGAAGTTAAACCACAATCACCGCAGTAACTTCCAGAATTGGACAAAATGCTATAGAGGTGTTTTAAAATCACAAGAGGCAAGAGTGTTGCCTGGCTCAGGAAAAAGCATTTTCTCTGGGGCAGGTTTGGGATGAGGAACATGCTCCAACTGCAGATAAGAACCACCAGAAGTTTCACATCTAACTGAAAGCAAGGTGTCTTTCTTAGATTTGCCTCCTCTCTACAGCATTTACTCTTAAAAACATTCAAAGAAATCCAAATACCAGTCCCAACCCAAGCCCCTCCACATCGCACTCTCAATGCTTCTCTAGAGAGATCACGGAAAAGAAAATGATCCCTCCCATGGCAAAAGGCGGTGACTTAAACATTCCTGGGAGGCATCCAGATACTACACTGATCCTACATTATGTAGAACAAAATAGCTTACCATTCAGATTGTGCTCTTGGACAAAGCTGGAGAGCTTCACGGAGAAGGGAGTTACCCCAGATCAGCCCCATAAATGTTATTATATATGAAACAGCTGTGAGATAAATTCTTTGATATTACACATAGGTACGGTTGTACTTTCAGCTGTCTCACTGTTGAAATACTGGATGTCTTACACAGATTACTCTATTTGCAAAATACACTTGCAGTTCTTAGTTGCGTATGACTGCATAACCCCTTACAGCTGCAGTGTGTTGAAACAAAAACCAATATCACACCGGATCTGCGGCAAGAGCCGGGGCACTGAACTCCAGAAATTCTGCATATGAAACCTTCCTAAAAAATGAACTTGGTAAAACCAGGGAAAAAAATATTACTGAAGAAAGTAAAAAATGTCTGTTAGTTAAATGAATAGTGCTATTAAGAGAACAAAGCAGCTTCACCAATTCATAAGTATTCTACTCGTGACCCTTTCTCACAATCTTCACCTCTCTTCTATTTTTCCTTTTCTTTTTTGAATCATCTGAGAGAAATCTTCCAAAACCTCTTCAAGGAAATAGTCTACAGTCACAAGCTTTGTGCTAATGAAGCTCTAGAATTATGAAGCCAGAGGTCAAGAGTACATCTTCCACGATGTCTGGGCTGAATTTGAAATGAGAAGGACTGCTTGACTTAGAGTAGGGAATGAGTAAAGCAGGTGAAAGGACAAACTCCAGTTGAAAAGTTTACTAGAAGCAAAAAACATTGCCTGTTGAGAAAAATCTGTAAACTAACCTAGTTACTGGTGCCTCAGCATCTGTATTAGCACTGACTGCAAAACAGCTCATCATGTTCTTTTCTTTTTTGATAACCGGCATCAAAATGCACCTACCCAACATAAAACTAAGCCAAATAAAAGAAAGAGGAGAATGACAGAGTGACATAGGCGCTGTTTCTGTTCCAGTTGCTGACTGACAACACTGCCATCCCCTAACATGGTTTTATTTAGTTATTACAACCATCTCTCTGTAAATGACACTTAGGATTATTTAAGATTATGTTGTAATCCTTTTAATCCTCAGTGCTTTAAATTTCAGGCTAAACACCAAAGAGCAAACTAGCACTTAGTAGAAATATTTAAAGCGTGCGATTTGAACATAAATCTTCTTTTATTCACCACCCCTCTGATGAAGACCTAGTGTATCGCGTCATTCAGGCAGCGAGAACAAACAGTACCGTATCTCACTGCAGGCTGCTACGTTTCCCCACATCATGTGAAGCTGTTTCTAACCAGTTCTTTTCCTTGGTGCTAGCTCTATCATCAATAAAAGAAATGAAAGGAAATCAGAAGGTTATATTTTATAAGGCGTGCATATTTTGAATTACTATTATGGAAAACTTGGAAAAAAACCCACCCTAGAAATAGATTGCATGCACAAATTGGATAGTGTGAGAGACAGATCAGACTTATCCTGTTAAACAGGGAGTAGCTCAATTAAAATGAGTGGAGTAACACTGCTGAAAACCTCATGATCAAGACCAGAAACCCAAATCTTCCTGCCTGAATATCATTTACTTGCAGTTTCTTTTTCTTTTTTTTTCCCCTGCATCGATCATGTTTCCAATTAATTTTCTTTATGATACTCCTATACTCCATCTTCTTGTTACCATCCATTAACTGTCATATGCTTAGATTTTAAATTCAAGATTTCCTTCTTTTTCTTCAAACCAAAATCTCAATAGTCATTTGCTATTTCTAATCTATAATTCATGAACTCAAATTGAGCATCCAGGCTAAATCAAACTCAAAATTCTGTAGCTACTCCTGGTACAACACATTAGCAGAAAGCAACCATTGCTCTGTCTGAATCAGAAAGGAATGTTTTATTATTCAGGCAGTAATGAAACAAAAACCCACCAACTATGCTTTGTTGCCACGCTTTGGAGATATTATCATACTTAATTCTGATTGTTGCAGCGTTAGGCAGCTAATGTATTTAATCAAACGGCAATGCGAGGCATCTATATTTAGGTCGCCAAAAATAATTTAAAAATCACCCATGTTTTTTTTCATTTCAACAAATCTATTAATAAGTAGACATATATTATCAATCTTATTCCCACCCACTAGGGATAAGTAGAGCATCAGAAGTGTTTCCTGGAATATTCAGTATCCAGGTACAAACTGACCTCTCCGCTTTCCGACTCGCCTTGGATTCCCTCCAGACTATCTCATAAATCTCTCCCTCTCTCTAGTCCCCTTCCCACTCTATCTGCTCATGTAACACCAGTCTCGTTCAGTCCTTTCCCTTCCCAAAATGTCACCACTACTGATGCCAAAGCCTTCTCCTCTTTCGCTCTTACCATCTGGCACAATCTTCTTGTAGCTCTCTGTCTAAACAATGCTCCATCCCTTTTCAAAATATGTCTTAACATATGTCCTTCCTCCCATGCTTTTACTTCTTAATGCCTCTCCCACTCGCTTATTGGCTTGATGAAGACAAGTTTTAATGGGTTCAAACAGTAGTGCATGAGTTTTCTTTCTCACATTATTCTGATTCAGCGGAGTTACACCTCACACCAACAGAAGTGAGAAGAAAATGCATCGCAACGTCTTTGTACAACCAGTTGGGTAAAGCAATAACAGAGCTTCATTTGTCTTTACATCGGAAATGTATTAGCTTCAATGAATCACCACTCCAATATGCGTTTCCAAACAGAAATTTTGCTTACTGCAAAATGAGAAATAAACCCTAGAAGCTCAGAAGACCTCTCAGAGTGCTCAGGGGGTTGCAGGAGTGAAGGCTAAGGTCATACTTAATCACTTTCCAAGCAAAAAAGCTGAAGATTGACAGCAAAACCAAAATATTTATTCTAAAAATACCTATGAAATGACAAAGCTCTAAGTGTTTTCTCAAGACAACCTGAAGGATGTGGGGGGTATGGAAGCATAAGTCTCACTGTCTTGAAGAAGAGGAATATTCCTAAATATTACACGCTCTTTAAAAGATGTCTAGAAAAACAAACCTTGAAAAATGTCTCTGTAACACCCAGTTGACCCAAAGAGGTTTATTTTCAAGAAGCCATGTACAGTCCCTTAGGGGATTTTTGTGTGTGGTGGGTTTTTTTTCTCAAACCCCAGACCCAGGCACGGTTGGTTCCTCCAGCATTTTACATTGGTGATGATGCCAAAGGACTATCTGGTAACTAACAGTACCTTGACCCTGACATGTTCCCTTCTCATCTCTCCTTATTTTATTTGTATTGTTAAAAAAATCTTAATGTTAGAACTCTGGGAAACAATTTGGTTCATAAAGAATAATATTTTGATGTGGTTTGATGCAACTTTAGTGAAACAAAAACAAAACCCCAAAAAACCTTTCTACTGATATTCATGGGAGTTGGATTATGTCCAAAACCTGAAGATGTTGCAATAAACCATTTTAGCCCCTAGATTTCGGAATGTTAACTGGGCAGTAACGTTTTTCTCATCCTTTCATCTTCTTGGGCCTTGATCCTCCCTTTCAATTCAATGGGATTTAGATGAAGTAATTAGATAATATTCTTTTCCATCAATGAAGAATAGTCCTATGAGAAATACATGTCTTTCTATGTTGGCCCTGACAGAGGCAAGCTTTTAAAATCCTCCCCTCCCCTTCTAGAAATGAACCTGGGTCATCACCGTCTGGGGACCCTGAACAGCAATAAAAATAAACAGAGTAACCGCACTGTGTTGGAGCAATGCTTGTATAAGCAGTTTGAAGAAGTTGTGTTTGTGGAAGTCCTTTAGGTCAAGATTCTAGGCCTGAACCCAAAGCAATTACCTACTAAGTTTTAAAAACAAATTGAATATAGAGCATTAATCAATAAATCAACAGGTTCTCAAGTGTTTAGGAGACTCAGTCATCAGAAATCCTTCTCTTAGAAAAATAGTAAACTGATGCTTGATAAAATGTTACACTCCGGTATTGGTAAGAAAAAAGCTGTATTAAATCATTCTCCAGTTATTAAAACCACGAAAAAAACCAAACAAACAAACAAACAAAAAAAAAAACCACCTACCTCTTAACTTCAGAGAGTTTATACTCAGACGAGCAATGAAATGCATGCACTGCTTCTTACCTGAAAGACGTTCTTTCTGCTGGATTTCTCCGAGGTCCACTCAATGCGAGCACCACACAAATCCACACACTCAGGTTTATATCCTGGTTTCTGGAAAGAAAAAAATAAATCACCATGAATATGGCCTGACTTTTCATAAAAAACGGGGACAGTTATCAGACAAAACAAGAATAGATCAGGTTCAAGTGACAGATCATTGTAGCACAGATGCTGGTATTACCAGAGTTTGTTGTTCCCTGGTATTATAAAATAACGACCCCTGAGGTGTCTTAACTCAGAAATAAGGTTCTTATACTAGATACATAATTTTAAAAACAGTCTAATATAACATACAACAGATCAAAACATAAATGGAACCACATTGACCAGCTAGTTTAAATTCTTGCTTTGCAAAACCTCTCAAAAAGCCATTGGGTTTCAAGGTAAAGGTTTGTGGGGTTTCCAAATGCAGATTTAAACTGATGCAGCTGGAAAGGACAGAAATTAGACAAGCACATACATCGTATCTGTAAGACAAGCTATCTCCTTTTTCCAAACAAATTAGCATTCATAGTTCAAAAAAAAAAAAAATTTAAAAAAAAGCTCTGAGGGCATGTGTGACACCCAGAAAGAGCTCAACACCAGAGTAGCTCCACACAGTTTGCTACTTCACAATGTCATCTGTGCATCCCAGAGTGACACAGCTCTGCCTTCCCAGCTCCTCCGTATGGATGCAAAATAATTCAAAGAGCAGATTTGTTTGCCTGTATCATTTACGTTGCTGGGAGTTGGTGTAAAACACAATAATCCTCATTTGCCATCTAAGCTCCTTCTCCAGGGACTCCGCCTGTGCAGCAGTCCTGGCAAAGCCCATGTAGTTTAGAGTAGCTTTTGTAGATTAGGTTACTGCACATCCCAACAACAATAAAAACACTCCTGTTAATGGTATAAAGCACCAGTAAGTCCCTTTTGGGTAAGATATGGAGTAATATCCACATAACATAATTAATCAGATTGATGTATCTTTTTTTGCTCTGTTGTTCTTAAGCCATTTCACCTTAAAAAAATCATATTGGTGACAAAGAAAACAGACTTAATAGAAGTTAACAGTAGCCAGTCCAGCATCAACCACATAATCAACTTTCCCAAGATTGCTCACTGAATTTCTCTGATGTTGTTTTTAAAGGCCAAAAAAAATGTGTGTTCTCCAGGGTGAGATGGGCAGAAAAGGACCTATTTAGGTTAAAAGCAGCAGAGTAAAAAATCCTGGTCAAGTCGTTTGCAGCCAGAATCTTTGGCATTTTTCAGTACTGGAGTTATAATTATGTTCTCCATTTGCCAAACCATAAAGCCACCATGGTTCAGCTCCTCTGACACTGACAGTCCTGTGTGTCTCTGTTCTTTTTTTCAGTTTTTAATTTTTTTAAGTAGAAAAAATATGCTATTCAAAACAGAAGGATGTTCTTCTGGCTAAACCTCTGTATGAGCAGGGTTTGGATTTTTTTTCCCAACTCTGCCTCAAACTTCCTGCCTGGCCTCTAACAAGAGCTGAACCTTTCTGAATTTCAATAATAGATCAAAACTGCACTATTGGTACTTGATTTTACAAAGATTTTGTGAAATTTAAACCCAACTTATTAGAACAAACAAATATTCAAAGATTAAAAAAAAATATTGAACTTTCAGTATTCCAGTAGTATACTTTTTAAAAGTAGGGCTATGGTGTCTCCTTCAACTAGGTCACTCTCCTTGGCCAGGAGAAACCACAGGGAAGTTTTCTCCCCATGACTTCATGCAAGGACCAGATCTGCACTTGCACAGAGCAGGCAGCTCTGTAACCCATCATGAAGACACAACACAGCCTTGTCAAAGTGGGGCATCTTGCTTTCTTTGAGAAAAATTGCCCAAAAGGATAGTTTCAGTCCGAAAATTCTTTAACAAGAAGGGAAGCTTTATTCCACTAATGGAAAAAGTCGAGAAATTTTGGAAACACACAATGAGATAAAAAGAAGAGATTAAAGCATAGACAAAGAAGCAGGAAATAGTTTCTTGATAGTGAAGAATACTGGGCTGCAGAATATTTTCCTCGGGAAAACTACCATGGTATTACACAGTGAAGTGAAAAAACCATGGAAAGCCCAGGGAAGTTTTGCCAGAAGATGGAATTGTGAATTCTATAGGACTTTACCACCTCTAATTTCTGTGTGTATAAAACAGTGCACTCAGTGCACTCACAGTTTAATTTTGTTGTAGTAATTTAGAGTTGACTTATAGTTTTGATTTTGTAACAAGCAGAAGAAAAGTGCAAGTACATGCATCTCCCTTTCCAGAAGTAATGGAATGCAATCTCAGAGTGTTGGAAAGATGAACACTGTTCTGCTATGTACAGCGATCAACTGGAATGCTTCTCTTTTGGAGAATATTAGAAGGCCAGGCTGGATGAGGCTTTGAGCAACCTGGGCTAGTGGGAGGTGTGCCTGCCCATGGCAGGGGGTGGAACTGGATGATCTCCAAGGTCCCTTCCAACCCAAACCATTCTGTGATTCTATGATTCTGTGAGAATTGAGCAATTCTGCCCACAACAGGACATGAAATCTCTATAAACACGGTACGAGACTTATGGGTCTGGCATAATGTAGGAAGCCTCTGATGAAAACTATTTGTGAAACCATTCAGATCCATCAAGCCTGAAAGCCTGCCCACCGTGCCCATCATCCCTTCTTCTGCACCGTGAGAGCTCCATGCAACGGGGAGCCCTTCTTAAATCCATAGGGATATTTGTTTTGAAATTAATTCTGGCCTAAACTTTGTCCTGTTACATAGAGTTTGCTTTCCAGCTTACACATGACCCAGAGACTCTGCAAGAGAATAAGTTAAGGTTACTGGGAAAGCCCGAGCGCTCTGCGTCCTTGCTTTGTGTCTTGCAGTCAGAGCAATTAATGTTAGATCAATGTTGTTGGAGGGGGTTATGCTGGAAATTGATACAAGTGTCTGCTGCAATGAAATCTTCCTAAACATGAATATGGATTTCAGCAGCATTTTCACTCACTAAATTACTTTGCAGATGGGCTAATAACCTGGGGTTAAAATAACCTCTGTTGAATAAACTATCTCAGGGAATAAACAGGCTACTTTTTTCCTGGTCAAACAGACTAACAGATAATAGAATTTAATGCTGGTAAGGTAGAATGGACCTGCTATCCGGTTAGATCACAATGTCCTTAATTTAAAAGAAAAAGCAAGTTATATTTATACGGATACTAAAAAAACAAAAAAAAGGGTATCAAAAGCACGACCACTAATGATCAAGGCAGCAGCAAAAGATAATGATTTAGCTACATGAGATGCAAACTTGCCTTTTCAGTAATATTTGTAAACAAGCTCATTTTCTGAATCTCTCCTCTGTGTGCTTTAATTGCTGCGCTCTAACTATTACTACTAATAATACCAGATACTGTCACTAGCTTCACCAGCAAGCCACAGATCCCAGTTTCCTCCATGCAAATCAGTAGGAAAGTTGTTATAGTGGATCCTACATTTACAACTCTACAAAGGAACAACAGAAACTCCCTTTAGCTATTACTAGTTCTTTACATTAGAATGTTATTAAAGATTTTGGTAAATATAATTTAAAATCACCTCTAAATGTTATTCTATCAGAAAACGAGGTATGACTAGAACGTGCCTTCATTCCCCTCTCTCCTGTTGCCTTTACTGTGAAATACCATTCCTCCTATAATGATGCTGTCTTATTTTAAATTTTCACTTCACGTACAGTTTTTAATAATTAATGAATTAATATCTTTATAATACAAAGGAACATAAATCTTTCTGTTAAGTCACATCATTTTCTTGCTAACAATAAAAATGTTTCATTATAAGTCATGCTATCATGAGTGAACACTGCTTGTATTACACTATTTAATTAATGGTTGACCTCCCCTTCTTCCAAAGTAAAACTACAGCTAGAAAAGAAAACAGTAAACAAATGTTTTCTATTGAATCCTTTTTTGTATTATTTCATTTCCACTATCAAAATTATATCTGGTTAAATGGTTTACAAAGGAAATAAGCATGATTCTATGATTACGTTTGCTTTACTGGATGAGACCAACATTCCAGTTTAGGTTTTTTTGATGTGTGAAATTTGGGGTTAGAAAATTGAGTTATAAGATTTTGAATACTGACATCCCCTGGTTTTTCAGGTTTTACCCAATTTGTTTATTTAACATTGCATGTAAGTTGTATGCAATAGACAGAAAATACAACTTTAACAACTTTTTCTCACCTAGTGAACGTTGAGTTCACAGCCCCAGCGTTCAGATCAGGCGTGGAATAAAAAAAACCCCGCTTTAACTTTTTTCCCCCCACAATGAGCAAAATGCAATTTTAACCATGTGGGGGAGTCTCAGAGAAAAGTCAAGTCTCCTGTGTGTTGAGATTCTGCTGGTCAGTTTGTCTCCTGGGGTTTGGGTGAGTGTTTGCACAGAGAAAAAAGAGGTAGCAGGTAGAAGTGTAAGACAGATAGTAAATTGTAAGACCAGTTTGAATATGTTCACCCGGGACAACTTTTTTTTTTTTGAAGAATGTCTAATTCAACTTTAAGGAAAAGATTCTGAAAAAAACATTAATTCAAGTGATACTGTATTAATGGCTTCTGAAAAACAGTATTTTCCATCTGTACTGACACAAACATGAGCAGAAATTAGCACATTTCATCCTTTACTTTCTTTTATTGTTTCATCTATTTTTATTTCATTGTGACCCACATCTTCTTTCCAAAAAAATCAGGGCATAAAAAGAAGTACTTTAAAGCTGATTTTATGGCAGGTGGCATTGATAGATCCAGAATATATAGAAGAAAAGGTTTGCATCACCTGCTACAGGAAAAAATAGCTTATTGTTTGTGACTCCTGCCAAAGAGAGCACCTTTGTGGCCACCCATCACGCCAATGAGATTTGGCAGGTTTGATCAGGCCTTGAGAACCTTTCACAACGGGGCTTTGTCAAACCTGTCCCTTCCCTGCCCACCGTGTCACACATTTACTGAATTCCCTTTTTGTTGCCCACGTTCAGGTAGGTAGGCTCAAACTCGGCAGTAACTAGCACTGAAGGGATGCACGCCGTTATTGCTTGCGCAACGGAGCTGTCACATCGCCAAAGACTAAGATGGGTGGTCTTTCCTTGGGGCACAATAAAAAGGTACGGCAAATTTCACTTTGTAGTAACTACAGGCTACAGAAATTGCATTAGCTGCATTAGACGGAGTCATAGAAATATTCAGGAAGGTTGGCGGGATATGGTAGATGTCACGTTTACCCTACGATAAAAAATCACTTTGCTAACTTATAATGTTTTCTGCTTTGGTAACACCCTATATTAAGGTGCCATTTATAAATAATTTATTGTTATTTATTAATGTATAAGCCACTTGATAGGATGGTAGATAACAACTTAAATTCATGTATTAAAGATGCACATACACGGTTTAATACAATTTACGTCTCACAATATCCTCTGTAACAGATTCTTATCGCATCATTTGTTAAGCATTTATTACTAATGCATTTTGTAACATGCTTTATAATGTATTCTTTGAGGAAGTAGCTGTATTTAGTGATCATTTTCATAAATAAGAATAAAGCAGTTATAAATGGCACCTTAATTTAAAGTGTTACCTTCACATTACTGGATAGTGACTCACCATTTGTCTCCCTTTGCAATTATTCTCAAAGTGCACCTCTTAATAAAGGACATGCTAAGTCCTATTTCTTCTCGTGCACCACATCTGATTAAAAGTTTATCAAGGCCTTTTCCTTCACCTAATCTCAGATTTTTGAAGGTTGCTGGCTCAGTCTGAATTTGTCTAATGCAAACACCAAACTTTTTATACTGAAATAACAGTTGCAAGGAAGCTGAGTATATTGGATGGTTGGTTGCTTACCAGGTTGGCCAGCGCCGGCTGCTTGGATTCTTTGTAGAATTCCATTTTCCGACCAGTGAGGACAATCCAGGACGTGGACCAGTTTTTCCTTAAAATAAATAAAATTTTTTAAAAAGAAAAAAATTATCAAAGTATGCAAGCAGCAAGTCAAAGATGCTCCATTTCTAGACTTGATTTTTAATTATTTTATGTCATTTACAAAAATGGTCTAAAGTCAACATCTGCAATGCACTTCCACTAATATTAGTGGAGGTGCACCATCCTAAACATACCTGAATGTGGCCAAACAAAGCTTAAAGGACTCCTTTTTACTCATTCGTGTTTTAAAGACTGTGCTCCTTTTCCACCAAAGTGCCTTAACCACAGAAAAATAAGGGGATTATTCACACGTGCTTAAAGTCCCCATATGCTGAGAGGACTCCAATAGCCAGTGACCTTCTGGCAACTAGCACTTTAAAATGGAACTGAGAACAAACAAATAATGTAATTTTGATCTGATTATATGGTCTATTTTGAAAGTATTTGGGACCTTTCTCTTTTCCCTAGATTAAAAATTTACAGGAGAGATAAAAACAATATCTGGGAGAGGTTTAAATTACCATTAAACTTCAGTAGTTCATGGTACAGCTCTAAAGAGCTAGCAAGCTGCTGGGGCCAGGGAGAAGTCAAAACACCCACAGGTATACAAAACAGTGTCCCATGATGCAGAAGAACATAATAATCAACTCAGAAAAAAATGCTATTTTA